CCCCAAAACCCCAAAACCCCAAAACCCCGTTATATAAAAGTCTATAAATCAGTAGAGAATAAAGTTTCAATGATAATTAGTGCTAATTTGATTATTGATAAGATTATTTTAAAATTTAAATCGATCTAATGAGAGAGTTTCTGATAAATGATCGCAATGGAAACACAATGCAGCGGTTTGCATCCAACTATATAAAGACTACAAAGTACAATGCCCTAAGTTACTTGCCACTATCACTTCTTTACTAATTCAAACGATTCGCAAATATATACTTCCTACTTATTTCTATACTCAGTTTTTTCCCCTCAATCAGTCCTTTCAGCGCTTTATCATCGACTTTACCATTTGCTTTTGTTGTTATGGTCTCTGTATTTAGAGAGGGAGTTGAGGATCTAGCTCGCTATAAATAAGATAGAGGTAAATATGAACTCTTATAACTGATTTAAAATAGAAATTAACAGAGTAAAAGTTCAGAAAGTGAATAATGATGGAAACTTGGTGGAAATTTATTCGTCTTCAGTTTAAGTAGGCGATATACTCTATATTCCTGAGGATACAATGTTCGCATCAGACATGATTCTACTTGACAGTTCAAGTGAAGGCGGCTAGTGCTTTATTTAGACTTCGAGTCTCGATGGCGAGAAAAATCTAAAGAAGAGACTGAAGCCTAAGGATTTCTTATTCAAGAACTAAAATGAAAAAGATAGTGCCAGAAAAGACAAATAATCATTAAAAGGGGGCAAGTTCCCAGTTTTTAAAGGCAGGTGTGAATGTGATTTACCAAATGCTGAACTTTATGAGTTCTCAGGAAACCTCAAATACGAAAAGAGGAGTTATGCGTTGAGTGCAACTTAATTACTTTTGAAAGGTTCAATTCTAAAGAATACTGAATGGATTATAGGCTTTGTAGTGTACACTGGAAATGAAACGAAATTAATGATGAATTCTAAAGAGGGAACATTCAAGACATCCAAAGTTGAAGCTAAGATGAATTAACTAGTCATCTTGGTATTGGGAATTCAAATATTTTTGTGCCTCTTAGTTAGCTTTGTTGGAATTAACTGGTACAGAAACGATAGCTCAGACTATAAATATCTGTAGTTAACAGATGCATTAGGAACTAGCTTTGTTGAGACTTTTTTCAGATATTTTTTGCTTCTAAATACTTTGATTCCAATTTCATTGATTGTAACTATCGAAGTAGTTAAAACAGTTCAAGCTTATTTTATTACTAATGATGCAGAGATGTATTCTCTTGAAAGGGATAGACCTGCCAAGGTTTCATCAGCAAGTTTGAATGAGGAACTTGGCTAAATAGGCTATATTTTCTCAGATAAAACTGGCACACTCACCAGAAACATAATGGAGTTCAAACTTTGCTAAATAGGTTAATAATTATATGGAGATGCCAATCTGCTGGAGTATGATACCAAGCCTTTGCAATAAAAGGTTTTGAGGTACAACTAAAAGCAAGGAACATAATATACTTTCAAGAATAAGTAAATTGAGAATGTACTCTTTAGAGAAAATATCACTGAAGAGTCATCAACAATGTGTGATTTTAAAGTAATGTCAAAATCCAGAAAAATTGTATATAAAATCATGCATCAGCAAATTTTAGTGGTTGAATTCTTAAAGCTATTATCAGCTGCTCATTAGTGTATGCCTGAGACTAAAAAGTCAAATGGAATGGAAGAGATATTTTATTAAGGACCTTCTCCTGATGAGGTCACTTTAGTTGAATTCGCTTAATAGCATGGCTATGAATTTTATTTTGGAAACGATAATTTTGCAAAGGTAAGAGTCTAAAAACCTGCAAAAAGAAGTCCTTCAGACCAAGTGACTCAATGGTAGAAGATAAGAAATATTGAATTTGATGTTTATAGGAGAATGGATTTCAACTCAGACAGAAAGAGAATGAGTATTTTGCTTAAGGACCCTGATGATGGCTATTATAAGTTATACGTAAAGGGAGCTGATTCTATTATAAAAGATCGCCTAGATAAAAAGTAGTTAGATAAAGAATATATGGAAGAAATTGATGATTTCTTAACAAGGGCTAGTGTAAAGGGGTACAGGACTTTATTAATGGCTATGAAAGTATTAGATGAAGATGAAGTTAAAACCTTCTTAGAGGATTGTGGTAAAGCAGAATAAAATCTGTTAACAAAGGATTAGTAACTTTAGTAAATTTACAATGATTTTGAAAGAGATCTTGTGATAGTTGGAGCAACATGCGTTGAAGATAGACTCTAGGACAAAGTTCCCGAGACCATCAGAGATCTACAGAACGCTGGAATTAAAATTTGGATGCTAACTGGAGACAAACTAGAGACTGCAGAGAATATAGGATATTCCTGTAATTTACTAAGAAGAGAAATGCACATTATTAAATGCAGTAATCTTGATGATGTTAAGAGAGAGTTCAATGATGAAAAAGGCTAGATTAATGAATAAATGCAAAGAGATTAAATACCAAGAGGAATCCTAATTGAAGCAGGAGCACTAAAAAATATCCTAGAAGATGATTCATTTACAATAAAGAGACATTTCCTGAAGATATCTAAGACATGTGAAGCGGTAATTTGCTGTAGAGTTTCACCTGCATAGAAGGCAGATGTAGTTAAACTAATCAAAGATGATGATCCAAAAACAGTTACTCTTGCAATTGGTGATGGAGCTAATGATGTCTCTATGATTCTTGAGGCACACATAGGTATAGGATTATATGGAAACGAAGGTATGAGAGCAGTTTAATCAGGTGATTATGCACTTGGTGAATTCAAATATCTTTGGAGATTGATTTTAATACATGGAAGATTGGCATATATAAGGAATTGCGATTTAATTCTCTATTTCTTCTATAAAAACATTGTCTTCACTTTACCATAGGTATTTTATGCATTTATAGCTGCATACTCTGGATAGACAATTTATGATGATTGGTATATAACATTTTACAATCTCTTTTTCACATCACTTCCGTTAATGGTAAAAGCACTTTTTGATTAAGATGTCAATCCAGAAAAGGATGGCATTATATATAAGCAATATATGCCAGCTCTTTATTATATTGGCCAAAGATCAGTTATCTTTAATACTTGGACTTTTATTTATTGGCTTCTGATAGGTATAATTCATTCATTAATAGTATTCGTAATTCCTCTCTATATTTTTAAATCTGCATTGCTCACGAAGAATGCACAAAATAATGACCTTTGGAGTTTTTCAATCACTTCTTTTACTGCAGTTATTTTGGTAATTTTTTCTAACTTATATTTTATAGATTGTGACATTTAGACTAATGACAACATCTCGTTATTTCACATGGATTAACTTAGTCAGTATCTATATTCTATCATTAGGAGTTTATGTAGCATACATGTGGGGTTCTAATTACACTGGCTTTTCTAATACTTATTTATCTATGGTTACTATATTCTAGTCTCCTCATTATTATTTGACTGTATTTTTATGTGTTGGCTTTTGCTATTTGACAGATTTATTTATTGAAGCATGGAAATTTGAAATTACTACAAATCCTACTGACTTTCTCAGAAAAATAATTTCAAATGGAAAAGACATTGATAAGCATCTTGATGAATTCAATAGAATATATCTTGGTATAAAGACCTAGTATGTTGATAAAGACATTGAAAGAGAAGGTAAAATAGAAGAAAGAAGAGACTTGAGAGTAAACAAATATGGACCGAATAAATTTAAAGACTTTAAAAAGAAGGAGGTCAAGAAACAGATTAAGAATGAGATTGAATTGGAATTTATCGAACAAGATGAAAAGGATAAATATATCAATAGTAAGTATAATAAAGAATCAGATGATGAGGAGGAGTAGGGATATACTAGTCCAGATCTTTATGCTCATAAAAATACTGCTAACACAAAACCACGAATGCTTTAAGTTATAGAAGAAGCAGAAAAATAAAGAGTAAGGAAAAAGTTCGAGGAGTATAAGTATAATGCAGAAAAGGTTAAGGCAAACCAAGAAAAGAAAGTAGATAATACATATTATAGAATTGGATAGCAAAATTAAAGATCTTTCAGACAACCCTCTTAATCGGAATCATCATTTAAGTAGATGAATGTTATCTAAAAAGGAGAAACCTTGACTAATTCTGATTAATAAACATATGGACAAAGGTTTAAGAACTAGAGAGCTAATCTCTAAAGTGACTAAATAAGCAATTTGAATAATCAAAATCACCTCAAAGAAAATACAAGTTAGTCCTAATCATCTATCAATCAAAGATCAATCAGCAAAAAGAGTTAAAGCAAATACGAGATAGAAGAATCAGATGATGAAGCGAGTGATAGACATAAGAGAAAGAAAATATAAAAGTTTTGAGCATCCCTTAATATTAAGAGCGATTGAGTATATTTTTAATTTCTTAAATAGTGATCAATTATATATAAAATTATGCATGCATTCATTCTTCTACTTGAGTCACACTTTATATAGATCAGTGGAACTGCTCTCCAACAGTAGTTAAGCAATTAGGTCTCAAGCTTCCTCTATCATTGATCACGCTCATTGGCTTGTGACCTTGATATCCTGGAATTCTAACCTAATAGTTCTCGACGATATTCTATTTAATTATTGTCATTCTTGGTTGTTCTCCTAATCCTTGCAAAATAGCTGTAGGGTTTAAGTCTGTTTTTGGCAAGTAGCCATTGTAGCCTGGAATATGGCTAGTAGTCTTGGTGGTTCCAATTCTAAAATAAAATAATTAAATCAATTGTAATGGTAAGTATAACTTACGTTAGCTCATGCAAATCAGTACTCATCTTATCATGTTGATCATTAAGTTTTTCTCTAGGGTTGTGACCATATGTGCCTAATGATTTCATATATTCAGTTTAGAAATAACTTCTCTTAGAGCTGTAAGCTTATCTGGGAAGACTCCATTCTGGTCTTTAAGATCTTTGAGCTGGTTGAGAAAGGGTTGATTCTACTACTCCCTGATAGGATGTTTTCCAGTGAGAAGTAGCTAAAGTTTTTGAAGCCATTGAGGTAGATGACTTTGAAGATGTCATCTCACTATTGTTAGCCTACTCATTTCCAAAACCTACGGCTGATTTTCCAGCCTAAGAGAGAGCACCACCCTCTTGCATGGTCTTTCTCATTAATTCAACTCTTCCCACTCTAGTATGATTGAACAAATCAGGATTGTGAGTGTATTCGTAAGAAACTAAGAATGATTACACAATTTAATATATTACTCATAGTATTAGCATTTTTAAGTGGAACCTTGTAGTCACCAACCTTAATTGTGTCTGAGACGTTTTGATTGTAAACAGAATCAAATCTTCCGAAGTTTTGTAAAGCGATCTTTCCATCTGGCTATTCTGTTGTGGCTTTAGAATAATAATCTCTATCCAAGGTCTTTTGACCTGGCTTCAACATGGAGTATGGCTTGTCTCTATATTTAACAATAATAAGGTAGATTATTGATACCCATAGGATTTGAAACCACCATAGCCTACAACTGAAGGAATCATTTTTATTTTCTTAATATAAAGTATAATTTATATTTAAATTATTTTAGGATAATTAAATTAAAACAGAATGAGCACAAAAAATCTTTTGGAAATATATAATGTTTCGCAGCCTTCAACTTCGAAAAATTTACCATCAAATATATCTGGTGATCAAGAACTAATGAGAAATCGAGAAAAATTGTAGAATATTATAAAAATTACTTCCGGAAGTTAGTCCTAGCAAATGTTCTTTTAAAAGAGGAATGTGGCCTCAACGAATCAGTTAACAACACTTGGTACACCTAATAAAGGATCTAGGTAACTCCCAATTAATTCTCCAGAAAGAGGACTAAAATCATAAGTTCAAGATACGAGAATCAATAAGAATCTACTATCATTTGATGCAAGGATTAGTTTAATGTCACCATCACGAGCTTAAGAGAATGAAATACCAAGTTTAAAGCCATCTTTTAGAGAATCTGTTAATCCCCAATAATAAAGCATTATAATAGTAAATGATAATCCATATAATTAACACAACCAGTACAGTCATAGCTTGTAAAAGGATAGTAGAAGGAATTCTAAAACAAATAGCATACTAAACATTAATACATCTCCGAATGCGGGCATTAATTTCTTAAGTTAGAATCTTCACAATAGCCAATTAACCTTACTTAATCACCATACTTCAATGCCCTCGATAGTATTATCAACAAGCCCCTCCCATTTTTAAAATTAGTTTGCTCAAAAAATATCAAGTTGATAAACAGAAATTAATTAACTAAAAGCCAAAATTAGTAGACTAGAAAGGGAGAATTAAGAATTAAAAGACTATTTTGAGTAAGTAAATGAATTCAAACATGCAATGTAAGATTTTTAAGAGAACTAAAGAATAGAAAACATTGATTAAAGACGTTTACTACTACTTAAATCATAGGTTCTATCTCTGCAAAGAGCCAATTAGGTTTACAGAGATACTATTCATTCATAGGAAAAGCTGGCATCTGAATGTTAAAAGGTTCTAAGATGGATAGAGGCAATTATGGGCGAAGCAGCTGTTTATAGGCCACATAAACTACCCTAGAGGAAAAATAATGATGCAAATGAATAGTCTGAAGAAACAGGTGAAGGATTAGCATCAAGATTAAGGAATAGTAATGCCTTTGACCCAGAATAAGAGGAAATCAATGAATAAACCTTAAAGCAGATATTCAAGGATTTTAATCTAAAGTAAGATTCAATCTTTTTATTACATATATAGAAATAAGATTGAGAGACTAAAACATACCTTACAAGAGACTCTTGTAAATACCAGAAAGTCGCATTCTTAAAATGTGCTAAAAAATAATGAGTTTATTTACGAAGATAGACAAAGCAATCCTTCTAAATCACCTAACAAATAGGCAGGATCTGTATTATAAAGGAAAAATTCCTTACTTAAAAGAAAGAGCATGAGGTTAACTGATAAACAGAAAGAGGATTAAACTTTATACGAGAGAATCAACATTCGACTAGACTAAGAGAAATTACTAATCGTATATAGATTTTTCAATATTTATTGTTATTATAGGCAGAAGAAAGACTCAGTGTTTTAGTTAAGAAAATGATAAATATCAATGGAAAACTGTTCGATGATCAAGTTATCCCAACTCAGAATGATTTTATGGATATAAGTTAAAGCTTAAGAGATGGAATAGACACCTTATTAGTGCTAGGAATAACACCGTTTTCTTAGTCAACATATTCCCTGATGGATTTCCAACCAGATAATTACTATGTCAATGAGATTAGGAATTCAAGTGATGAATGGGTAAAATATGTAAGGGAAAGAGTTGGAGTTTAGAGAATGTCCAGATTTGACCCCTTTCTGAAGCAAGATCACCAGATATTTAACAACTTCGATGTGCAAACATTATACAGCTTGATAAACTAGGCTCAAAGCTCAAATATAAAGAAAAAAGAACTTACTAAACTTATACTTAACTTAAGAAGGGTTGAAAATAGATATGAAACTTCATTTTAGCTTTTGGCAAAGTAAAATGAGCTTTTGCAAAGAATAATGGCTCAAATGAATCTTCATGTAGAAAAATTAGTGTAATTCAACAAGAAGTAACATCACTTCTATGAGAAGATATTAATGCAGGATATTTATAACCCCTTCCTCGAACTAACTAAGCTTTAAAAAAAGATAGGAGGCCCTGAATCGGAAAATTAAGATCAACTGAATAAGAAAGACTTGTTAAGCTTTTATTCTAAGTTTCAGAGTCTCAGTCAGTAGTTTGAAGGTGCTTTTAAGCACTTCATATTGGTTGAAGAGATGGATGTGAAGCTAAACAACAGCATTTTGGAATTAATGAAGATCTACGAGAAAAATCACCTTAGATTCAAAGATAATGTATAGGACTGGAAGAAACTACTCATCTCTAAATTTGAAGAAGAACAAAATCAATTAAAGTCTTAAGTTAGTATTATTCAACCTAAAGGAGTAAAAAATGAAGTAATAGATGACTATGAGGTTGAGCAAATTAATGAGGGACAATTACTTCTTAATACAGATGGAAAGAATTAGTGATAAATTAATTATTAATAAATTATTGAAATCAAATATTGTTAATTTTTATTAACTCATTCATATTAAATATTCATCGAATCAAATAACACGGTCATTCTTCTTTATAAATAAGATTTGTTTCATTCTTAGATAGATTAAAGACTACCTTGCCTCTCTTTGTATTAGACTGCTCTTCATCTTGATTTTTAACGTTATTATTGATAAGCTATCCGTTTCCATTTCTCATCTTATTAAGTTGAGACTTTTACTCCAAAAGTTTGTCAAGAATTTACATCTCGTACTCAATTTACTCGAGGTCTTCATTAGTATTAAATCTCATAAGCTGCTTAAACTTATTCTTAAGTGAAGTCCTATCTGTATTCTCATTTTTCCTAGTCTACAAATATGATGTTTGGTTGCTTATTGTAGTTCTAGTGTTATTCTGATTACTATTAGGCTGCTAATCAGTATTGATATTTTGAATAGCAGCTCTTTAGTTGCTAGAATCTCTTTTTTGAGGAATTTTTTCTTTTATAATTTTAATTGGACTTGCTTTTTATAACTAAGCATTATCCCCCTTATTCACTTTCTTTACTTAGGACTCACCTTCCAATGCCTTGTTTATTATACTTGATTTTGCATTTCTTGCAGAGAGAATTACATCTAATGATTAGGATTACGAAAGATGATTTTGATTAACATCATCTTATAATTTTCTAGGACTCTTATTTTTTTAAACTTACATCTGAGATTTAGACAATGGAACTCTTTCTTAGTTTTTAAACTTATTTTACTTGTCTAATTCAGGCAACTGTAATGATGCCTAGCTTTCTGAAGCAACTAACTTTAACTTCAATTCGAATGCATCAGTTTCAGGTGATTGTAAATTTTATCTTTAAGATTTTATTTTATGCGGAGTTGGTAAGTTAATTAAATCCTGAATCCCCTCGTTATGCTTTTAGATTAATTTTAATTTATTTATCAGCTTTTTATCTTGAAGTTCTTATTCAAGGTTTATTGTTTGGTTTTTCTTAGATTGACCCTTTTTAAAGAATTCTTGCTTTGTGATCTGATGCTGCTTTGTAAAGGTGGTATCTATTTTGTCAAAAATTTCTTTATTCTTTTTACCCTATGGAGATTCTGAAAACTTGTAATAGTTTAATTAAGGCAATATCTTATTATCAGTAATTTTTTAAACTTGGACTTAATTTGAATAAGCAATAGGATTCTATGGGTATTCAAGAGATTGGTTTCTTCCTCCTCTTGATGATATATTTGAGAGTTGACTTTTATTTTTTTTGCGGCTATTTTTCTTCTTTTTGACATTGAAAATTATTTTACTTTCTCTGTCAATTATATTGTCTCCTTCATCGACTGTTTGGTCAACTTCTTCATATATTAAACTTCCATTTACTTTCAACTTTGGACCTGATTATTCCAGGACTGATTCTTTTGTCTCAGTCATCAGGATAGAATTAAACTAGTTGTTCTTAATTTTCGTTTCATTTTTATCGTTAATTAATTGTTCTCCTGCTGGATTTCTACTCTGCTAATATATACTTGGAAACAATTACTTAACTTGAGCTACAACTTTACTATCATTGGCTTGATTTAAGATTTCTGCTGCGCTTGAAAACTATGTAACTTTTTCATTATTTGAACTTTGATTGACTTTCCATTTAGAGTATTTATCAATCAGTGTATCGTGCTTCAAATTCACTTTTGTGTGGATTTCATTGCTCAAAAATTTTCTTAACTATTCAAGATTCTCAAAATTTTTGACTGGCTGCTTAAGCTTTTTTGAAAATGTTCAATCATCAAATGTTTTTTAGATGTTTCCAATAGAAGATGAGGCAACCTTTCTTTCACTTGCTTTTTTATTAAGATTCGCTTATTATTATGGAGGAGCATTATTGTTTTTAACATAGGCGATATACATATCGATAGCTTCCTTCATTCTATCTTTCTCGGGATTTTTGTAGAATGGGCTTTTATTCTTGAGTTTATTTGATGAGACTGATTTCAAAATCTTTTTAGATGGTGATTGCTGCATTTGCAACATCAACATCATTCATTAATGTGACTGCTCATTAGAATTATTAATGTCAATTAGAGATTCTATCAAATCATTAGCAGATTCCTTTCAATTTTTACTATAATATACCTTTTACTGCAGTCCTTACTAAGATTGCTTGTTTGAATTGGAAGAAGGAGTACTAGTTTTAATATTATAAAGCATATTTTAGTTTCTGAGTCTTATATGCCTTGAATTATTTGATGAGCATCGATCATTAGAAGTAATTTCCATTTTGGGATTCAATAATAAAATTAATTGCTTAATCAGCCAGAATCATTGTTCAATCTATAATGCATGAAGGGGTTTTGGGGTTTTGGGGTTTTGGGG